TTTTTTTTTTTAGATTTGAAAAATCTAAAACTTCAGCTCTGATTTTCAGCTCCTGTCATCCTTAATTTCTCCTCACTCCGGCCCACGTGCCAAAATTTCACAGTTGGAGGTTTGCCAGTGGCTCATAATGAGGGCAGGAATGAGCCTTGATGCTGCAGGGTACAAATACCTCTAGTAGCCTTGTACAAGTCATGGCATTTTTCAGCATCATTGACACTGACAGGAATACCACCTAGCCCTTAGGTGTCTCCGAGAACTCATCCCTTCAGGCTGGGTCCTCCAGCCTGACACCATGGCAAGCAGGATCCTATATTCAGGCTCGAAACACATCACCAGGCAAGGGCGAGATCCTAGCCCTGGCAATAATTTAAGCACAAGATTTTAGTTGTAACTTTTTAAGTGGCCTTAATTTTATTAACTTGTTCTGGGCATATATTTCACGTAGAGTTGTTTTGTTGTTTGGTTGTGGGTTTTTTTAAAACTACATATTCATACTAATATCGAGATATCTACTTTTGCAGTGGTGCTTTGTAATAACTTGGTGTATTATATTTACTATCCTTATATTTTGTTTAAGCTATGTCCTTTTTCCCCCCCTTAACTGTGCAGGACTGTTATAATCTTTAAAGACTTTTTTTTTCAATCTTCAATCAGACTTTGAAGGCTGGTACTTTATGCTGAAACTGAAGATGCTTTGGCTTTGAAACATACAAGAATTCTTAATAGCTGAAAAGCTCCCTCTGCACACATTTAGCAAGTGTCCCTGAAATATATAATATTTTCTTAAAACTCTGATGATCTATGGCTACAGCAAGTTTCATCCCTCTCACAGCTCAGTCATATTCACCACTTCAGACGAAATGCCAGTGTATTCACCCAGGGAAAACAGAATTCAGTTTATGTATGAAAACATGTATTCCTTCTCCCTTTGCCAGGTCAGACTTGTTTCATTACAACTAGTAATTTAGAAATGTTGTCCTTCAAGTTCTGCATAACTTTCTACCTTTAATCTGCACATCACAACTAAGTTGACATAATACATGTAAAACTGAGTAGAACATATAATTTTATGTTCAAATCCAATACATTCATTATATCTGTTTAACTTGCCAATTAAAGAACTGACTTCTCAACATTTAAACAGTCTTTCTTTGCAAGAGCAGACCTATTGTCTCAAATGTAAACTGCTGCCTAAGGAGAAATCCTGCTACCAAAGGTTGCTGGTGTAGAAACAGGAGGATCTCTGCCTAACTCAGCAGGTAGCAGCTGGGCTCCAGATGCTGTCCAGCAGCAAGCGGTGGATCCTACACTGAAGGCTGCAATTAATATTAACAGAAAAACGTGACAGTTTGCCTGAGCAGAAAAGTCCTTAAATATCCTTGTTCAGGCACCTTTACTTACTGCTTTTGTCTCCCTGGGTCGTCATGCACAGCTCCCTAGCATCACCTGCCCTTGCTAAAGTCAGAGGTAAATATCTCCTGTTCCACTTCAACTGGGGCAAGACAGGGCTCACAGGGATCAGGCAGAGTGATGCATCTTTTGCTCTTAACATGTTAACTGGATCAGACCAAATGGGTGGATTTGTGTCATTTTTTTAAGTGCGCTGCATTTTAAAGAATCACAATGCTTCACCTGAAGCCTGAACAACTTGTTGCTTTGTTGTACTTTGAATTAAACTCCTCATACAGCACTGCAAGAAAATAGGAGAGTTGTGTTGACTGAGAAAGCAGCAGAGCACTGGGGCTTCTTAGCACTTTTCAACAAGAAAATCTGGCAGAGGGACCCCAGCAATTACCAGAATGACCCCTCCCTCCCTGCCCCATGCAATCCCTGTCTTGACCTGTCTGTGCGACACGCAGCCCCCCTCTAGTCATCCCTCAGCTATAAAACTTGGCCCTCTGGGCCACAAACACACCCTTCCCTCATTGCCTCCCAACAGTGCCATGTCCCTCCACATGCCTAGAGATGGCCCCACAGCTCATGGACACCCACAACCGTTGTTGTCACCCCCCATCCCTTTTACATACCCTTCACCACTACCCGCTTTGCCTCACCTTGGCATAGCAGAAGGAGATGAGCAGCAGCGGGAGCAGATACCCAAAGACAAATGTGCAAACCACGTAGACCTTCTTGTGGCGTGGGTTGGGCCAGTGCTCCCAGCAAAAGGTCTCATTGCTGGCCTCGCGGTGGAAGAGGCGCTGGTGGTGAGCCACAGGCGAGGCCATGGCGAAGGAGAGCGCCCAGATGAGCCCCACACCCAGCAGTGCGTTGCGGGAAACGCGCAAGGCCGAGGAGCGTCGGGAGTGCACGATGGCCACGTAGCGGTCCACGGACATGGCCGAGAGCGTGAAAATGCTCACCAGCATGGAGACAGTGAAGAAATAGTGGGTGAACTTGCAGATGAAGGCACCCAGTACCCAGGTGGGGAGCACGTAGACTGTGGACTGGAAGGGTATGCAGAAGAGCAGGTAGGCCAGGTCAGCGATGCTCAGGTTGAGGATGAAGATGTTGGTGGTGCTGCGGCGCTTGCCTGGCTTGCTCCTCGCCAGCACCGTGATCACCAGCGAGTTGCCCAACACCCCCAGGGTAAAGATCAAGCCGAAGACGATCAAGGTGATGAAGTTCTCGATGCCGATGCCGAAGAGGGGCTTCCCCTCCGCCTCCGGCAGCCCGGAGAGGTTGAACTCCCCACGGGACGCCTCTGCCCCAGCTCGGGACCGGTTGAGGGGCA